TCCCACGAGCCTCCCTGTGGATGGGCACGGGGCAGCCAGGAGCCCACCTCCTCGGTCTCCCGCCTTCTCTATCGGGAGAGCCTGACAAACGGGGACCCGGCGCCAGGATGCTCGCCTGTCCTTACACCCCCCTCCCCCACGACTGAGACCAGCTCCAGCCATCATGGACAAGAGGGGCCAGGAAAACCCTCTGTCCAGACCATTAGGAGACAAAGCGCTCAGGCGACTCAGCCTTCCTTCTTCCCGAGAGCGGCGAGAGAGGCAGGAGCCACTGGGAGCACCGGGGCCACCTCTGGGTGTGCTCTTGGGTCCAGAGGCCTGGACCACCGTTCCCCTCACTGACCACCCCGTCTGTCACCTATCAGGGACCCTGTTCCTGCCCCCGTGCCTGTGAGGGGCCCGAGCCAGGTGGAATGCACTGGGGAGACGGGAACGGGGAGTAGGTTACGGAGTGCCCACGTGTGGGAGCGCGGGTGGACTTGAGCTTCTGGGGACAGCAGGCCTCCGATTCTGCCCCCAAGAGGGGCCTGCTGTCCGGCCACCTGGAGCTGATGCCCTCAGCCTCCCCACTCCTTCGCAGACAGCAAATGGCCGTGCCCGCACTGGCGCTCTCGGGTCCGGCAGAAGCCAGTACCCACGGAGAGTGCCGCGCCGAAGACCGTGCTGGGGAAGTCTCGCATGGGCGCTTGCTGAGATGTGGCCCAGCTGTTGCGGCCTCAAGTAGGAGCGAGGGTCCCCGTGCGCTCACTCCTGGATGGTGGGGACCCCACTCATAAAAAAAAAAAAAAAGAACAAAAGACGCTCCCTTTGCCTGGGGTGACGACCCTTGAGGGATCCCCTCAGCAGCCACCTGATCAGGAGACAGGCCCGCGTGTCGCCCGGGTGATCGCCCCAGGGTGCCAGGCCTTTCTGTCAGCTGCTGTCCCACTTCTCTTGGGGGCCGCGGTTTTCACGCAAGATGGAACGAGGCCCCCGGGCACTCAGTGGGGGCGCCATCAGTGGGAGGGACGGAAGGGTGTGCCCACTTCCAAATTCATCCGAGCCGCGCTGACCGCCCCCCATGTGGCCGTACGTGGACAAAGGGCCCTTAGGGGGATCATGAAGGGTAAACGGGGTCCTAAGGGTCATAAGCCCTCACCTGATGGCCCTAGTGTCCTTGTCAGAAGAGGGAGACCCGGCGGAGGTCCCTCTCTCTCTCTCTGACCCGCCCCGCCGGGGAACAGAAAAGAGGCCATGGGAGGGGTGGGGGGGCACAGTGAGAAGACGGCCCTCTCCAAGCCAGGAAGAGAGGCTCTCTGTCACCGGAAACCCAATTTTGCGACCCCTGCGTCTTGGACGACTAGCTTCCAGAACTGTGAGAAGCCGAATGCCTGCTGGGGAAGCCGCCCAGGAGGCTGCATTTCGTGAAGTGGCCCGAGCCGGCGGACACAGCCCGCCCGCTCTCAGTGAAGGAGAAAGAATGGGCAGCCGCAGCTCAGGAAGGAAGCCTCCAGCGGCCCTTGAAGACCAGGGGATCTAAGGGCAGCTACGGGGAACCCCCCCAAGCACAGACTAAATACCCTTCTCCGGGGTACTTTCTCCAGAAAGCCTACGTGCCTGACCACAGCCCGTCCCAGGAGAACCTAAGGGGCTGACGCCCAACAAGGTATGTCCTCCGGCCAAAACGGAAGGAGAGCCGTCCTCCATCCCGGAGCGCGGGGTGGGAAACTCGCAAACAGATGGAGGTCAGGCAGCGCATCCCCAGAGAACCGTGTCCGTCGGCCACGCCCGCCACATCCACAGACCACACACTGCGTGGCTTGCACGACAGACGCCGATTCCCTCCCGGTTCTGAAGACAGGGAGTCCAAGATGAAGGTGCTGGCGGGCGTGGGCTCTTCTGACAGCCTCTCTCCTCCGCGTGCAGGTGGCCGCCCTCTTGCTGCCTCTTGCCACGGTCACCCCCGCGTGCAGGCAAGCCCCGCCCCTGCTGTGTCCTTTGCTGCGTCCTCCTCCACTCCTTTCCCGAGGACACCAGCCATATTGAAGGGAGCTCATCTTCGCCGGCTTCCTTTGAACTCCGTCGCCACTTCAAAGGCCCTGTCTCCGGCAACAGTCACACTCTGAGGGGCTGGGAGCATGGGGGCCCCCGATGAGTGTGGGGCAGACAGCAGTTCGGGCCGTAGCAATCACCACCCAATCACACCGGGAAACACAAGGAGACTGGAAAACTCTTTCCCACGGGCAAGCGCTAGAGACTCGGCGCCAAAGCTCATGGGATGGGGCCGAAGAGCCGCGAGAAACTCACAGTGGGAAACGCCCACGTGAAAACCAACCCGCCAACAGGCCGAGAGCCCCGACACCTCGCCTGCCACATCAGCACGCTGGCCAAAGAGTAAAGGGAGCCCAGAGCAAGCACAAGGAAGACAGCAAGAGAGAACGGAGTGCGAGGAGATGAAGTAGGGAAGAGAGATAGGACCGGGGCCCCGCCGGCTCAGTCGGCGGAGTATGTGACTGTTGATCTCGGAGCTGTGAGTTCCAGCCCCACTCTGGGGGTAGAGACTACTTACAAATAAAATCCCGCCGAGGAAAAAGACGAGCAGTAGAGAGAATCGATGCAAACAAAAGTCGGTTCTTTGAAAAGATGAAGAGAAGTGTCCAACCCGTAGCTTGACCCGCCGAGAGAAAAAGACAGAGGATTCCAGTTACTGCAGGTCATTCTTAAAGGCTGCTTACCGTCTGATTCCAGGTCCACGGCGTCTGGGCAAGGCAAACTTAGAGAACTGGTTCAACAGATCGGCGACTGCCACGGGCCCGGGAGACAGGAGGAAGGACCGACTAGGTGGAGGCAGGCCACATTTTAGGACACTGACGGCATTCTGCGTACTACTGGCCCCGTGACTGGATGGATGGTACGATGCATTTGTCAAACCCACTGAACTTTACAGCACAAGGGTGTGCCTTCCTGTATGCCAAGTACACACAGGCACAAAATCACACAGCGGCCCGTGGAATCCCAGGGAGGAATGCAGCCTGTCCGAGGAATCCAGCTCTGGCAAGTGTATGACAAAAGCATGGAACGCCCTTCCTGGAGGGGCCTGGGAAGGTGCTACCTACATCGCTCTGGAAGCGAGGGCGTCGGTAGGACTCAAGGCCCAGGGAACGACATGACCCCCGCGTTCTTAGTTCACGGAGCTGTTTCCCGAGGCCGTGTCCCCAGGTTGACCTCCGGACACTCCTACCAAAGGCCACCTGAGCAGCTAGGGCCAATGGATGGCCACTGGGCGGAGCCATTCTCTCCCTGTGGAAAGGGATGTTTACTTATAAAGGAGGGCAGGAGGCTAGAATGACCCAGGAGGTACTAGATGAGCGTGGGAGTCAGGAGCATGAGGCCACGTTTAGCTCCCCATAGAGCAGATGATCACACATGGAAACGTTCGTAGACACACGTGTACAGGGGCGTGAGTACACCTGGACGCTTCCCCGCTCCGTCGGCAGAGAGGGCCTAGACCCAGTAATAGCCCGAGAGCACGGGCCCAGCGGGCACGCCGATCTGGGTTGCTAAATCCCTTCCTCAAGGAAAGGAAGCAGGGCTCCTTAGGCGCACGGATGACTCCAGGACAGGGGCAGGAAATGTGCAGCCTGAGCGACGAACAAAAGCTCAGTCTTTGTGCTACGAGTCTGTCCTTTACTCCCACACGGCTACCACACTCACACCATTTGTGACCCTTCTGGGGGCTCCGCCCACCCCACAGCAAGCAGTCTGCCGCACCAGCTGGGTGTCCTGACTCAATTATCGATGCCCTCCCGACCCTCTCTACCCGCAGACAGCACCGGATCCCGCGGGGTCAGGACTCAGTCCCGTAGGACGGCCCCCCCACCTTAGATGCCAGTCGCACAGGTCCCCACGTTACCCACAGCTCGGAGTGGGCTACACATCGGGGGTTCCCTGGGCCTTCCCACCGTGGAGTCGACAGTTTGCTACAACAGCTCACAGAACTCAGGGAGACACGTGCGTTCATCACCTTGTTAAAGGGCAGGAACGGCCCGAGGAAGGCATCCATCGGGGGGGGTCTGGGAGGGACCCGGGCACAGGATCGTCATCGGTCCCCGTGGCTTGGGTGGCACCACTCTCCCGGAACGTTGGTGTGTTCACCCGCCGGGAAGCTCCCCCAGCCCCTGGGCTGTTTTATGGAGGCTTCCTCACAGCCAGGCACGACTGATTCTTAAGGCCAGGTCCGGCCCCCGGGACTCCCCGCTCCGCAGAATGGGGCGGCAGGGATGAACCCTCCAGGCTCCTAATCATGGCTTGGCCTCTCGGGTGAGCTGTCGCCACCTCCAGGGCCACCCAGGAGCCCAGCTAGGGTCACCTGGTTAGAACAAAAGATGCCCCTAGGGCTCTTACCTCTCGGGAAATGACAAGGGTTTTATTTAGGAGCCCCGTGTCAAGCACGGGATCGGAGACTACGTGTTAGGAGAAGCGATCCTCCCAGCAACCCTGTTTACAAGGGATTTAGGAGCCCCGTGTCAGGAACCGGAGCCAGAGACCTGTATGATAGACAGACAGAGAGAGAGAGAGAGAGAAAATATAGAGATATAGATGTAGAAGTACAGAAATCAGTATCTTATTAGGTCACAAGGAGCCTGGAGCATCTCGAAGTGCCAGAAAGTAAGGACACGGTAAAAATAAAATGAAATAAAAACGAAACAAAGCCACTCTGTACCTCAAAGGGACTCGGAAGCTGACTGAGACCCCTTCGGACGACCAACGCTAGAACAACGAGAGCGACCAAATCGAGCAAAACTGGGATGTGACCCAAACGATAGAATAAAACATCCTCGAGTCCCTAGTGAGAAAAATACAGGATGGGATGGTGAAGGGACAAATGCACGAGAGTGGACAAGCCTCCCGCAGGCGAGTCCCAAGCTACCAAAGTAGATACCGCTGCCCCAGAGAGGAGGAGCGCAGCCCGGCTCCCCAGAGGGCGGGGCTGGGCACAGTGACCTCCCCGCAACCGCACCATGCGGAGCAGGCAAACGAAAGGGTCCCTTTCCACTGGGGACCCTGACGGCCTCTACCTCAGCCGCATGCTCAGGGTCAGCATCCACAGTGACTACCCGTACTCCTCGTCTGGAGACACCCTCCAGAGGATGGGGTGAGCATGTCTCTACTCTGTGGTCTTCCTCTCAGAAACCTGTAGCCGGGTCTCTGCCGGAGAAATCTACCCAACAAACCCCAGGTGAGGGACGTCCTACCGTGGGTCTGACCAGGACCTCTCCTAAAGCTCACGGTCATCGACAACAAAGTCGGGGAACTCCCAAAGCCAGGAGGAGTCCTCGGAAGACAGGACAACTCAGTGGGGGATGGGGCCTCGTGGGAGGACAAGATCCCACTCGCACGCGGACGATGGAGGAGCCGTGGCCCACAGAGGGCTGCTCTGGGTTCAGGCACTGGCCGCTGCTCCGCCACGCCCCTTCCCAGTCCCGTCCCCTTCCCTCCCAGCCGACGGGCCGGTCCAACGGTGTCCAGCGGGCTCACTCCCCTGGGCAGGCTGCACATCAGACACGCAGTGGGCCGGCAGTTCAAAACACCCTCCCACCGGGGCTAAGGACTGTCACGGCCTGCCCAAGGGTGAGTGTCCGGGGGACCCTCCGCACAGATCCTCTGTCCGGGGGCTCGGGAAATGCGGCATTGCCTTCCACACTGTCTTGTGGCTGTCCCTTGGTCTCCCGCCCTGCCTCCTGCCACTGGCCCCGCCGTTGCCCCGTGCTCAGCCCTAGCTCGGGCCCGGTACAGGCAGAGAGGCCCCAGGCTTGCCCGTGAAGGCGCCGGGACCGGGGACAGCAATGTTTGTCCCAGAGGATGGTAGGTAGGGTGGAGCCAGCCTGAAGGTCAGACCCCAGGCAAGGCGGTCGGGTTTCAGGAAGGCATGGCTGTGCCCCGGCAACGGGGGCTTCTGAGAGATGCAGGACCGTGGTTGAGACACCTCACACCAGCCCCTCCTGGGAACGGGTCAGGCCATCTAGAGATCATCACGTCGTCCGGCCAACGGGCAAGGGGGTCGGTCCCTGCCCTGCCCAGCCCTGGCCACAGGTGCCGGGGACCCGGGTGACGTGTGTTAACGTCGACACGATTGAGAGAGCCTGGCACCCCGGAAATGCCTCCCCGAGGGACGCTCGTGGCGGAGCTGGGAGAGTCCCGAGTGGGACAGCAAAGCAGTCCAGGACGGTCTGGATCAAACACCATCCCACCGACTCCAAGTCCGTTCCTTCCGAGGAGGGCACGCAGTATCCCTGCTTCCATCCTGGAGTGCCCCACGGGCTCCAGTCCTGGGACTT